GCCTCGCGAGGCCCGGCGCGGCCTGCCCGCTGCCAGCGCGGAGCCGCCCCGGGAAAGTGCGTCCAGGGTTCTGACATCGGAGAGGGGAAGGAACCGGCCGCTCGTCCTGAGAGCCCGGTGTACGGCGGGCAGGGAGATCCCGGGGGTCTTTGCTTATTAGGAAATGCTTCTCTAGGGCCTTAGTGGGGTTAGTAAGCAACTTAACGGGTAATTTAGTAGGGGCACCACATTGCTCAGTCCCCTCTAGTCTGAACAATCCCAATCTCCCGTAGAGCTGTGCCAGCAAGGTGGGTTTTTGGTCGTTTCAGTTAGTTATTTTTTATTCTGTCTGTGGTAGGTGGAATCAGCTAAGCTCTTCTCGGGCAGTCAACTAGTGCTGCAGCGTTTGGAGCAAAGTGCTGTTTTGTGGTTGATGATTTACTTGTGGAGTGGCTTAGGAACGCCTTGAAAGTGAGAGTTGAAAGGCGGTGCCGGGCACTAAGTAAGGGTTGTGTGGCTGGTGTCAATAGAACGTTACAGAAATTTAAGCAAAAAATCAGCCGGGATCACAATTCCAGGTTTCTAAACGTGGGGGATGAAGAGCAGAAAAACCTTGAACTGCTTGCCACGAGACATTAAATGATTTTTGGCCGACTTCAGCGTTGACAAAGCTTTTTAAATAGCAAATGTGTTGAATAAAGACCATTAACCTTTCAGTTAGTTTTTGGCCTCGGGCTGTAACTGCCGCGGAGATAAGAATCAGCGTTGTGAAGCCGCTGTTGTGTGAGTGATGTTTGAGAGGAGAGGTGAGCTGTCTGTCCTGCAGTCCCGGGGTGTGTGGCAGGGCTGCTGCTGGTTGCTGTGCCACATGCCAGACACAGCCAGGGCCTGGAGTTAATTAGAGATAATGAGGGGATGGTGAGGAGGTGGCTGTGTGCCTCGATTTGAAAAACTCCTCTCCTCTCCCTGAGTTGTGGCTGTGCTGCATGTGGGGATGAAGGTAGTCACCTTTCCAAGTGTTATATTTTGGGGGAAAATGTCTGTCTTCAATGATTTTCAACACAAATCGTGGAGATATTAAGGTTGGAAAGAGGATGAAGTGCAACCATCACCCAGCACTACCACAGCCACTGAACTGTGTCCCCAAGTGCCACCTCCATGAACTTTTTGAACCCCTCCAGGCATGGGGACTCCAGCACCTCCCTGGGCAGCCTGGGCTGATGCCTCACCACCCTGTCAGGAGAGAAATTCTTCCTCAGATCCAATAAAAACCAACCCTGGCTCAATTTAAGCCATTTCCTCTTGTCCTATTGCTGGTTATTTGGGAGAAGAGCTCAGCCCCCACCTCACTCTGACCTGTCAGGGAGTTAGAGAGCAGCAAGGTCTCTTCTCCAGACTAAACACCCCCATGTCCCTCAGCTGCTCCTCACAAGCCATGTCCCCAGAGCCCTCACCACCTTCATTGCCCTTCTCTGGACATGCTCCAGCCCCTCAGTGTCTTTCTGTGCCCAGTTTTGAGCACCACAGGAGAAGTCCTCAAGCTGTGGCCTGTCCAGGGGCACAATCCCTTCCCTGCTCCTGCTGGGCACACTGGTTTTGATCCAGGATCTTTCCATCATCCTCTCTCCTGTTGGCTCAGTGGTGGAGGATGTTCATGTCTGAGGTTCTATTTACACCTCAGAGCTGGCTCTGGGTGACTGTGGCAGAGGTAAGATGTAATCAGGGATTAGTCTTAGATGAGGAAATGATTTATTCCTGGAAGTACAAATAAAGATGTCTCCTTTGTTGTGATTTTTTGCCCCCCCTCCCCTTTGCCCCTGTTATTTTTAGAGCCTTTCCAGAGAGATTATCTTTTTATCTGGGTAATTCTAGTGTCAAACTCCACGTAGCAAATCTAACACACCCACAGCAATAATGTTCATGCCAGTGCTCTTGTGTCCTGGGCAGTGGGAAGGGGCTTCTGCCTGTGCTCAGTTTTCATTCTTCACCATTTCTGGTGCACTCTGGGCTCTGTGGTGTGCTTAAGAAACCTCCTGGAGGAATGGGTGGGATGGTCACTTGCTTTGGAGGAAGTAAGAACTTCCCTTTCAGTGCCTCCTTCTACACACATCACAGACAGGAGGGTTGAGGAGGCATTTCAGTTCAAAGGAAAGAACTGAGAATAGATGAATTATCTTCTGAGGAGTTAGTTGTGGTATAAATGGAATCACAGCTCACAGGGATGGTGCATTTTGGAGGTGACCTGGGGCTCCTTCCTTCCTGCTGTCTAAAACTCCCTGCAAAGAAGCCTGAAACACTCCATAGTGTTCACGTGTGGTAGCCCCATCTCCTCAGCAATCTGCAGACCTGAGCCTGCCTGTTCTTCTCCTCCTGCTGTGTGAAACCTGTCGAGGTGGGGTCTGAAATCCTCCAAAAGAGATCAAACTTGGCAGCTGAAACTTCCCTTGACCTCTCTTTTGACCTGGCTGGGTTTTGCTCTGCTCTCTGTGATAAGGAACATATCCTAGGCCAGTGCTTGTCTTTCATGGCAGGTGCTGTGGCTTGGTTGAATTCCTTTCCAGGTATATTAAAGCTCAACCTGTTTTTAAGCTGATTTGGGAGCCTCAAATGAAGGATTTAAAAAAAAAAACAAGTCTGCATCATCCCATGTTAGTTCAAAGCATTTTATACAGCCCAGGGGGAGTGTAAACTGCTCTGGTTTGAGGAATAAACATCAAAAACTGAGTGCAGCTCCTAACACAAGCACTAAAGTTGGTGTTACTTCTTCAGCCAAACAGAAGTGAAGGGGTTAGAAGGTTTGTCCTATTTTGAATGTATTTTTAGGCTTTTCAATTGCTTCATTACTCAGTGTCCTGGTTTGGGGTAGAACAGAACTAATTCTGTTCAGGGATTTGACTTTTCAAAAGCTGTGGAACCGTGACACTCAGGAAGCTTCAAAAAAATGCAATGAGGGAAAGTCTAAAACTTTCACTTTTTGCTGGTGTAAATATTTCTAAATGACTAAAACCCCCTATTTTTATAGACTTCTTTTTTCAGCATAGAACTTCTATGCAGAACTTCTGTCTGATGTGACAAGAAGTGATACACAGTGGCCAAATTCTCTTTGCAGTTGCACCTGGATCCATAAAACAACATTTTTGTGTGATTGCTTGTGCTGTGTCCTCATGGCTGCTAGGTAATAAAAATGCGGAAACCCCCCCCAAAAAACCTGCACGGACATCTGTGTGCTTGGTTCTTCTTTTCCCTGTGGGTTTTGGATCTGCTTTCCAAGTCCCAATGGCATGGCCAGGAGGGTGCTCACTTCAGAGGCAGGATTTCTGCTGTGGCTTGGACTTTGTGGGGTTAGATAAGTCTTAAGTCAAGCAAAAACTCAGTGTATGTTATGTACAGAGAAGTTTTAGGAGCTCTACCAGCTTCTTTGATGTGTTCCCATCAATTCCTTCTAAAAATGTATTTCTGCAGCTTCTCAAGCAGTGCAGAGTGAAGGAGATTAACTGGATTAGTTCAGGGGTCAGGTCAGGCTGAGGCTGAAGTATTTCACTCTCCTGCTGTTGAAAATACTGCTATTCAGTGGTGGTTGTGCCCTGGTAAGACCTGATGGTTGAGAGAGGTCAAAAATGAGAAAGGAAGACTCTGTCAGAGCTGGGATTCTGAAATAATTAAAAGAATTATTCAGTAAGTTTGTTAGAGTGCACAAAAGCTTTGGATTTGTTAGTCTAAAACCTGCATTCATTGACAGAGGGGCAAAGTGTTGTTAGATAAGTCATGGACCTGAGTGTTCAGTTAGATCCAGGAGGAGTTTGTTGAAATTCTTCTGGTGTAAGACTATAAATGTGGTGGGTAAATGCATTATTTGATTTAAAGGTGTTTAAGTAGAGCAGTGTGCCAAGGAGGAGGAAATTAGGGTGGATGTTTGATCTGGAGCATCACGAGGAGCCAGAGCGAGGCTTGGTCGGTGTTAAAGAGATTCAGCTTATGGAAAACTGGTGACATTGGATAAATGTGGGAGAAAACAGTGGATCTTCCCTGCAAGGTGAGGTGTCTGCTGCTAGGAAATCCTTGTGACAACACTGTAGCACTGGCACCCTGCCCTCCAGCTCTGCCTGAAGGGTGTGCAGCTCTGCAGAAAACCTGAAAAGGTTGCAAGTTTGCATCTTCTGTAGTAACAACTGTTCCAGGAGGTGACGTGACGTGGATCCAATGCCAGAGTAGTTAATGTGTGTGATTATCTTTCTTTGCTTGCAGTGAAGGTGAACGACCAAGCCAAAATGAAAAAAGAAAAGAGAAAAGTGTCAAAAGAGGAGGAAATCGCTTTGAGCCCTATGCTAACCCTGCTAAAAGATACCGAGCTTTTATTACAAATATTCCCTTTGATGTGAAGTGGCAGTCTCTGAAAGACCTGGTCAAAGAGAAAGGTAATGTACAACTCAGGTGGCCAAGTGATGTCTTGTCATCTTACTTGTGGCTGACTTTGTGTGTGAACTTAAAAAGAGTGGAAGTTCTGGGCGGACTTTAGTGACACCAGCTCTGTAAAAGGTCGGCCTGAAGCCTTTTTGGGTGTTGCACATCTGCTCCCTGGCAGCCTTCCTGATGGATGGTTCCTTCCTAGGCATGTTGGCATAGAGCTAAGAGTGCTTCATTGGAGATTTAAATGGGAATTTTTCTTAGAGGGGGGAAAAAAAAACCAGGCTTGGGTCAGACTGTAGCCTTGACATGCAACAAAACTTTCTGAAGCATTTTAATGGCTTTTGGGTGACAAAGGTAGTTACTGCTCCTCTGGTGTGAGTCTATATAGCTGTGTCCCCAGACTTCGTGGTGATCTGTGCTTAGATGAAGATCCCCACTGCTCTTTGAGGGCAGTAAAATGTGTCTCTGGGTGACCTGCAAAAAGCCAGAAAAATCGGGTTTGTGCTTTGGCATGTGCTGCAGCAGAGTTAGGGCTTTGGAGATCCTGTTCTGGCATTTCCCCTCTTCCCACTTGTATTTAACTGTCCCACGTGAACGGGAGCTGCCTCAGTTTGTTGAGCACCTTCATCTCTTGAGGAAGATGAAGAAATTGAGCTGACTACTCAGGTGGAGACAAGTCTAAACTAGTGTTACTGCTTTAAGCTGATGCCCAGCTTACTAGTTTTCCAGTTACCTCAGGGATGCAGTGGAGTGGCAAGAAAACACTTGGCTTCTCCATCATTAAAACACCTCAAAACCAGCTCAGAGTAAGGCAACCATTGCTCCTGTGGGTCCCTTCTGAAGCACATGGCATCAGGCATAAACACCTCCCAAAAGAGCCATCAGTGTTCACTCGTGTTTGAGCTAGGGGAGGAGTGCTAAGGTGTTCACAAGGCGTGGCCTAATGAAGGGGAAAACAAATTCCCAGAGGGCTTTGGAGGCAAAAATGGAGTCTGTGTAAGGAACTTCAGGACTGGAGGCCCTGGGAAACTTCCATAATTAGAGGCTGGGAAAGGTTGATGCTGGAGATTGGAGCAGTGGTTTTGTGTCACGGTCTGCCAGACTGCTTTAACAGGCCCTAATTATGAACAGTCCCTTGCCTGAAGCTCTGCTTTCCCTTTGCTTCACCAGCTCTTTTGGTTAACAGGCGTATCTCTGTGTGTGAGATGTCTTAATTTTTTTTTTAAGCACTGTGTTGAATTCCCTTCCAAGTGTCTTGTGGTTTCTCTCCAGTTCACGTGGATGGAAAAAAGTCCGGGGTGAGATTGTTTCCTGCCTTGCTGTTCAGCTGCTCATTCCAGCAGATACTCCTAGGGGGAACATTTGAAACCTCTCCGTTCTGTCTGCAGGGCTTGTTATGCTAAACCTGGAGCAGCATTGTTGGTGGTTTTTTTTTTGGGACTGCCCAAACCCAACAGTTTAGATCTGCTGAGTAGTTGGCGATTTCCTTCCATTTTAGTCCCCCACTGTCTACCAAATTTGGTGCTCTGGTGCTGTGCTCGAACTTGCTTCAATCAGGACTTCTTGATGCAAGGCATAGTGGTTCCAAGAACCAGGAATGTGACCGTGGCAAACCCTAAAATGTTAGAATTTTGGGTTTGTGAGTGTAAGATCATCACAGGCCAACCAAGGTGGTTTTTTTTTGGGGGGAGCACGTGTGAAGCGGATCCGTCCGGACCTCGGGGGGTCTGCCACTGCTCCAGCTCTTGGCAGTGCTGGAAGATTTTGAAGCTGGTAGGAGCAGGTTGCTGGACGTAGGAGGAGTTCCCCTCCCTCTGCTGGTTTGGGTCAGTAAGTATGGGTTAGGAGCCACGAGCTTTGTATTCCTGCAACCTGGTTCTTTCAGACGCGTGCGGTCTCTTAAAGGTGACACCTCTCTCAAGAGTTCAGTCATTTCAGTGTATTTGTTGGTGAAACTCAATTACAGGTATGCAGTATGAACTAATTGTTAATGCTATTTCAAAATGTTCTTGTTTGAAACTCCCTCGTGTTGGCTGACAAACCCCAAGGGTCTGCTAAACCCAAGTAATGGGCGTGGGTGATTGGTGAATGGCTTCAGGAGGAGAATGAGGCAGCAGTTTCTTCAGCATGGAAGTGAGGTCTAAATGTAAACATGATGGAATAATAAATAGCTGTCTTCATCTGTCCCCCCCAAAGGGCTCTGGTGTAGGGAGAGAGACTGTCACACTTCCTGGCAGCAGTGAGGTGTTACCATCTGATGAAAAAACTTGTATTGGAGTTGGAGATGTTTATTGATTGATTCCTTTAGGAAATACAGAATTTAGTCTCTTAAACCTTTTTCCTGACCAGAGTAGCAAGGTGCTGTACAACACAAGGAGGAAAATGAGCTGGAAAGTGAAGCAGTATCTGTGTTCTGCTCTGTTGCAAGGCCAGGAGCAGCTGCAGTCAAAGCCAGGCTCCTAGAATCATTTGGGTTGGGAAAGACCTTTCACATCCAGTCCTGCAGCATTGTTGGTGGCTGACAGGTCCCCACTGCCCCGTGTCCCTCACACCACATCTCCACAGCTTGGAAACCCCTCCAGGGGTGGGGACTCCACCACTGCCCTGGGCAGCCTGGCACAGCCCTGGGCAACCCTTTCAGGGAAGAAATTGTTCCTCAGGGCCAACCTCAACCTCCCCTGGCACGTTCACATCTCATTCAGAGACTCCTGGGTGCCCCAGGGCCTGTTTGGACTGGCACAGCTGCACCCATGGCTCTGGGAGGCCTCAGAATCCTTTAGAGAAACCTGGACCTGTGAGCAGATGGGAGGAAAAGCAGCAGCAAAACTTGCAACTGTCTGAAGAGCACGTGCTGTCTGCTTTCTTTCTCCATCTCCAGAAATTTTGGAAGCTTTTGTGGCCTCCTGAGGGTGTAACTCATGCCCTCTTGCTGTTGTACTCCAGCCCAGGTATTTACTGAGTGCTTTTGGCACTTGGGTGCTACCAGGTGCTACTCCAGTACCTGGAGACCACAGTTACTGGAGAGTCCCTTGGGCTCTGGTGCCCGAGGTTCTGTTGGTGTGCTTGCAGACAAGTTCTAGATGGGTGAGGAAGAGGATGAATAAGCAACATGGAAGTGCTGTTCCACATCAGGCTCATTTCTCTTGACTTTCAGGAGATGCACTGACGAGTTGCTCTGTTTTCATCAGCCATACCCATCTTCTGAAGGAGGCATTGTCCTCCCTCAGTGGCTGTGAGAAGGTTTTTCACTCCCTCTTTCCTGCCTGTGCTCTCAAAGAGCAAAAATTACCCTTTTTTTGTGGTTTCTCTCATGTAAAAGGGAGATTTCCCTTCCTCTGTTGCAGTAGAATAATAGCTTGTGAACTCTCCTCTGCCTCTGCTTTGGGAAGAACATTTTTCTTCTCCCCTTTCAACTGAAGCTTTGTACATGTACAATGTGTTTCTCTTCTCTCCCCCTATCCCAAGCCTCCCATGTAGCTTTAGGGTTTGCCTGTCATGAGCTTTAAACAGTATAGGAAAGAGGATCCATCATCAGTTCTGAATTTCCTCACATTGAAACCACCAAGCTTTTCATAGCAGGGTTCTCTTGAATCCCTCACACTGCCCCATGTTCTTTAGAAGATGATGGGACATCCATATGATTTTGGTGATGTCTGGAGAATCTTCCTTCTCTAGTTAGTATTTACCTCTGACCCTGTCTGCCAAGGAAATAATTGTGACATAAAACTTTTACTCCTTTTTCAGTTCCTGTGTTCCTCTTGCTGAGACTTGCCTCTCTTGCACCTCTCCTGCCCCTCAGAGCTGTTTGGTTTGTCTCTAACGATTAAAATCATATTGCCCAATTTAACAGTCTGGAAAGCTGACATCTCCATCTGAGCTTGTTACCCAGTGACTTCCCCAGACGTGGCTGCAGGGCTGGGTGAGGCCATCTGAGCCCTGCCTCACATCACCACGTGGACATACCTGTCTGAGCTTCCTGAACTGTCCCTGGAGAGTGTCCAAATTCTGCCAGACCAACCTGGCTTGAACATCTTAATTTTCTGTGCAGATAAACTTTGGGCAGTGGGTATGAATTTGGGTGAGGGGGAGGAGAAAAAGCCTGTGGTGGTAACTAACCCTGGAGAATCCTTTGGGCTGGGATTCTGGTTATTGCAGTGATTTCTGCTTTAATCTCACCTTTTAGGAAATGCCAAGTTTCTGAACTTGAAGTGTGAGGTTTATAAAATCAGTCTGCTTTAAGTTAAGCCTTAAAGACACCAGAGGGAACACGTTCCTTAATTATATTTGCATAGACTTAGAGCTGCTATTTTCTGCAAGTTTTATCTCCCTTTGGAGGCTGCTCTGGTAATAAACTCGAGCTCCTTAAATAAGTCTCATGGGTTTGAATGAAATTTCTGCACTTGTGGATACAGACTCTGCTTCAGCTGACTGGTACCACTGAGAGCTGCCTCTATCCCCAGTGCTGGGTGTCCTCATACACTGTGCTTTGGGATGGAGAGGGGAAAAAAAACCCAAATTAAATATGACCCAGCATAGGTTCTTAAAAAAAAACCCAAAGTTTCCTTTGCTAGCCTCAAATGGCTTCTGGAGAAGTGTCATGTTGAGTCATTTTACATGTTTTTCAAGTGAAAAAAAAATGCCTTTTTAGTGCAGTTGTTTGTCCTGTGGACTTGGTGTCTTGGATACTGTGCTGTGCCCCCTCTCCCTGCTTTTTATGGCTCTTCAGGAAGTTCAGATGTCCCCTGAGTGAAAATGGCTATTTCAAGAGGTATATTTAGTTTTTAAACTTCAAGATGTGCATTTAGTTTTTCATACAGGTGTCTCTGAGGCTGGAATGTGAAGCACTGAGCAAAATTGGCACCTCCTAGATTGTTCTAGCGACCAACGATTGCTGCTGTGATAGACTCCTGGAAATCTTGTGCTTTAGAGATCTATTAAAAGAGTAAATGTTTAAAATCCTATTTCAGGCTTGAAATTCCTAGTTCAAGTTTGGCAAACCTCTTGGGAAGCGTTTGTGTGGAGCTGAAGTTAAGAATTGTAGCTGAATTGGCTGAGTGGTTGGGAGAGGAGAGCCCTCCATCCCAGGGCTTGGGAGTGTTCCTTAGGAGCAAAGTCACAGGCTTCTTGTGACCTGGAGTGGTTTTTGTCCTGTAGGTAATCTGGGGATTGTCAAATCACATTCTTGAGCCCAGTGTGGTTGGACTCTGGCTGCTGCTGTTGATGGGTGGGCTTCAGAACGACCTTGCTAACCCTGAAGGTTTGGACTGGGGGCACGGCCACCACGTGCCACCAAGGACTGGTCCAGGAGGGCTGTTTGCAGCACAGTCCCTGTCACTGCACAAACAGTTCCACGTGCTGTTCCCATTGCAGAATGGAATTCATTTTTAGGCTGCATTTCAAGTGTTGCTCAGATAACAAAGCTGTGGGTAGTGGTGGGCCTGTCCCTTTCAGAGGGACTTGTTTGTGAGCCTCTACCAGTCCTCAGAAACCACAAGTGGAGCAGAGTTTATCCTCTCTAGATCACTCTTCTGTGGCTGGAATGCTGATACCACTAAATGATTATATTTAAAGAAATGGATATTTAAAAAAAAAGTGATTTCATTAAGCATTCCTTCTCTTACAGCTTCGAGAGGGAAGTTTCAAGATGTTTGTTGACACACACGAGGTGTCCTATAAACCCCTGGGGGTCAGGCTGAGCACCTCTTCCTCTCACTGTCCCTCTCTAAGAGCTGGGTCAGAGGTGAAGCTGCAGCTCCCTGCCTGGAGTCTGCCAGCAGTATCCACCCTGGCTCCTGATCTCCCACAAAATCCCCTCTCCACCTTCCACCTAACGCCAGCTCCAAATTTCACTTGGAGTCCTCCTGTCTACACCTTGAACAAGGACTTCTAAAACAGGAATGGCAAAAGTCCACGAGGTGGGGTGTTTTTGGGTGATCCTTCTGTGTGCCCATCCCTTCAAAGGCAGCAGCCAGTTCTTTTGGTAGTTGTATTCTGGAGGGACGTGAGCTGGTTACGTGGTGATACAAAGGCAATCCTGATCTTGTGAGGAAAGGTGCAGGGGTAGTTTTGCCTTTTGCTGGAGACTGCTTAGCCTTGAGAGCAAGCATGGCAGACTTTGCTTCTTACTGAAGCTAAAAACTGGACTTTGTGGTGGCTTAAACAGCCCAAAACCCTGCTGCAATAAATAGCAGGCAGCGAGCGATCTCTCGGCCTTTTGGTTCAGTCTGACTTCCTTTTTTTGGAACTTTCTCATTAAATCCAGAGAAAATCAAATAACCATTTGAGTTCTGGACTCTGCACACCCTGTGAAGCAAAGGAGACTTGTCCTTGCAGACTTTCCCATGGATTTGGATTGCCTCAAGCAACGAGCGGGCTCTAAAGATGAAGGAAACTGATAACGGTGGCAATAGCTGGCTTTGGAAGTGGAGGAAAATCAAGAACATGTTAAAACTGTTTGAAGACTTTACTGCATACCTGTAATTGTCCAGTTTTGTGGTCTAGAGAACATGGAGTGTTTCTGGGCTTTCTTATAAGGCAGAGGCTCCATACACGGTTGTTGATTGTTCTAAATTCCCATTGTTTTCTTGGCTTTTCTCCCTTGGTATATGTGTCGTCTGGAATCTGATTTGTAGTTGGTGAGGTAACATACGTGGAGCTCTTAATGGACGCTGAAGGAAAGTCAAGGGTAAGTGTTTGAGAGATTTCTTCTGTGGATTTTCTACATGACAAATGTTACTGTACGGTGGCGTGGAACGAAACGAAGTCAGGGAGGTAGAGAGCGCGTACGCTTAGTGGCTACAACAGGATCGCTTAAAGCTTCTTTTTTGGGGTGGGGAGGAGGTGGGCCGGGGCTTGGAAGCAGCTTTAGGGTGGTCTTCCACTGTGTGCAGTTGGCGTTGGCTGTTTGAAGGAGCCAGGGAGCCTAGCAGCACGTCGAGTGGCACGGCAGGTGAAGGGCAGCCTTGCGTTTTGGGAACCGGCACCGGAGCGGTTTGCTGAAGGTTTTTTTTTTGGGGGAAAGGCCAGTGTGCAAAAGGAGGTTCTGGAAACCACGCTTCCTGTGCCAGTCAAGTCCATGCCTCAACGTCAACCCTGGATTGCCTTCAGAGGTGCCCGAGTCCTTTAGTCCAGCCACAGCATCTTGCAGAGGGAGGAAAATCCATAAGGAGAGCACTTAGCTGTACCGAAGGAGATGGATTTAGGGTGAGAGAGAGCTTTGCTGTATGCCAGAGCAGAGCAGGTCTCATGAAGTGTGTGGTTATTTCTTCTTGGAGAATCGGGAATTAGTTCTGTTTGTTACAGCTCCAGAAGCTACAGTTTAATCCTGTTAATGCCTAAGACATTATATCTTATGGATTTCAAGTATTGAAGGCTTTATTGGGTAAGGTGACGTGGATTTTCGCTGTTAGGGCTAACTGATGTGATTTGACTTAAAAAAGAAAAACAAAAAGTTGTGTGTTTGGTGTTTTTTTACTTACTTTATTTCTTCTTTCTTCCCTCCTCTCCTCCCTGTTACCTGCCCGTGGAATCGTCTCGCCAGGGATGCGCGTAAGTTCACCTCTGAATTTATAGCAAGAAATGAGGAAACTCTTAAAAAGAGAAGCCATTTTTTCTTAGCTGTCTTGTATCCCCACAGTGTTGTTGAATTCAAGATGGAAGAAAGCATGAAAAAGGCTGCAGAGGTTTTGAACAAGCATAGTCTTGGTGGAAGACCATTGAAAGTGAAAGAAGTAAGACGTGCATCTGTTCTTTCAGTATGTTGACTTTGAAGGTGAAGGGGTAGTTCTTAGTGGTGATTGAAGGCTGACTCATTTGCACATAAATAACTGACAAAAGGCAGGATTCATCAAATTGGATTTGAAATAACCCAACATTTGACCTTTTTTGGCCATCAGCATGCACTGCTGAACTTGAGTTTGGATGGTATTATCAAGACTAAACTTGATTTTAAGAGTAGGTGCTGATGGTAGCAAGGCAGAACTTGGACAAGGCAAGAATTTGGCTCTAACTGCAGGTGTAATTCCTTGTGTAGCCATTTGAAGAAGAAACCTGCAGAGCTGTTCTTGCTTGCCTTCCCTTTTAATTCTACATCACCATGAAGGTGTTCTACAAACAGTTCCTTAGAATAAGCTGGTTCCTGAAAGAATTCAAAGATCTATTTCCATTTTAATGCTATTCTCAACCAGTATGCCATGCTCAACTGTACCAGGAGTTAATTCTTAACCACTGCCAAGTTGAAAGTGTTATTCCAGCACTTTAGAACCTGTAACTGCATTGCAAGTTCAATTGAACACAAAATAACAAGGGACTTGCTTCAGCATTAGCACTGACTCTTGGCCTTAGGGGGTGTGAGCTGTGTTCTTGGCTAAGCAAGCTTCGTGTTCTGTCATGTCCTTGTCCTGCCCACTTAATGGTGGGGGGTGAAAGATGTCTGCATATGATAGAGGAAGCGTGTGGAAGGTCTGCCCTTGGAAACCTGCTTCTGGAGCTCTTGGGAAGAAGGATGGGGACAGCAAGAGGCAGCACTTCTCAAATCTGGCACATTCTGTGAGTAACGAGTTCTGGGGGCAGCAGCTCCTGGGCACAGGCCATCTTCTGGCACCATCGACCTCTTGATGCCCTTTAAAGGGGAGAAGAGGTGAAATGGAAGATTAGAAAAACCTAGTTGCACTTGGAAGTCATTGAGAACTGGCTTGTCTGGTGGGCCCTTGAGAGAGAAAAAGCTGTTGAGTGGTTTTTAACCAGCTCTGGGTTGGTTTTCCTGCTAAAGATATACCTGTGCTGGAGGTCAGGCCACCCTTTTGCCATCAGCCCAGGAGAAGAGGTGGCTGTAACTTGCCCAACTCTTCATGAAACTCTTGTCACACTTGACTATTTCTGCCTAGGTGACAGAGAACAGAAATGATGCTTGAAAGAGATGAAGAAGCATTTTTCCTTTCTTAGGGACTTTAGCAACACGTGCCCCAGTCTGGCTGTGGAATGAATTAACATGCTGTTAATTAGCAATGGTTCTGCCAAACCATACCTCTCTGTGGTGGCTGTCCTGCAGCAGAGGAGCATGAAGGCCTCCAAATGACACCATAAAAACTCTACAGCAGACCAGATAAAAGCTCTTTGCCTGATCAGAAGCCTTTGGTTTGTATGACAGCCACTCCTGGCATTCTGTTGGAGCTAAGCTGGTTTGAAGCAGTCCCCTATTCTAACAGTGAAAGAGAGACACTTAAATTGGGAAGTGACTTGAATTCACTTTAATGTGTTCTCCACCTCAGACTACCATGATTTTCTGTAGCTGAAACAATCAGATGAAAGCTGCCCTTTCTCCTGTGCTCAAAATGGGCTATTGTTTAGTCTTAAAATTTGGTTCAAGATTAAAATGAACTCAAACAGCTTCTATTGTAAAAGCATCTCTATTTCTGACCAACTATTAGACCTTTCATTTTCTTCAGCAGTTTTGCAGTGCTGGTGCATTTTACTCACTGAAGACAATTTTTAAAATACATTTTACTCACTGTGACATTTCCAACTGAAGTGACAGAAATTCACCTTGTATTGTGAAGGTGCTTAACATTCACTTGTTAAGCCAAGTGATGATAATTAATCTCATTTCCTCCCTTGAATTCTTCATCCTCTGCTCATGTTTTCTAGCATGTTCTAAAATTGTAAGATTATGTGGTAACAGGGGGATACATTGAAAGGTTTTTGGAGGGGGGAGGGTAGAAAGCAGTGGAGGAGGGGGAGGAGATCTTCTTGAAATTTTACACACTGTACCTTGTCTTGTAAAGAAATCCAAGTGCAAGGTAAATTAATTGTGGCATTGTTTTGAAGATGCCAGGACTTAGCTGGCATTTGGCTTCCAAAAGTTCTCCAGTGCCATTCTGGGCTTAGCAGGCTTTGGAACAGACAGAGCTGTGAGGTCTAGTGTTGGTTTTCTAAGAAACCCTTTTAGAAGGGGAGGGGGAAAAGCATGAGTAGGAATAACTTCCCACCTCGAAGGGCGCTGGCATATTGCTTACAAGCAACTCAACTGGTGGCTGGCAGCCCTCTGTGAGGCAGCTGGCTGGAGATGTGTTGGGAGCAGATATCCCTGTGTCAAGGGAAGCCCTTTTTGGAGCCAAGCCCCTAATCCCCTGGTGCTGGTGGGGCAGGGAGGGAGCTGAGTGTGCTGTCTGTGTTTTGGCAGGATCCCGACGGCGAGCACGCCCGCAGAGCAATGCAGAAGGTCATGGCAGCTGCTGGGGGGATGGGCATTGGTCCAGGCCCAGGAGGCCCTGGCATGATCAACATCCCACCCAGCATCCTCAACAACCCCAACATCCCCAACGAGATCATTCATGCCCTCCAGGCAGGCAGGCTGGGGAGCACTGTCTTCGTTGCAAATGTAAGTGCTGGGCGCCATGAAGGGGTTATCTGGGTCTTGGCTGGCAAGGGAAGATCTGTTCTCAAGGGGTTGTAGTGACTGGACAAGGGGTGATGGCTTTAAGCTAGAAAAGGGGAGATTTAGGTTAGACCTTAGGAAATGTTCTTCAATGTGAGGGTGGTTGATCACTGGATCAGGTTGCCCAGAGAGGTGGTGGAGGCCCCATCCCTGGAGACATTCATTGTCAGGCTTGATGTGGCCCTGGGCAACCTGACCTAGTTAGAGATGTCCCTGCTTATAGCAGAGGGTTGGACTAGATGAGCTTTAGAGGTCCCTTCCAGCCTGATACATTCTATAATTCTTAATATGATTAATTAGAAGAAAAGCCTTAGATATTACCTCTGTTCCTGTAAAACCCAGTGACAAGTAATTTCTGGCTAGTCCTGCTGAGTCTCTGTGCTAATGAAGCTGTAGATTACATCCTATATGTTCCAGTCTGTTAATTTGTATTTTTGAACAAAACCAAGAACATTTCATTGTAGCATTTTTTTATACCATTTAAATTTCATCCTATCCCCACAGAGACTGTTCCCTAAGATGGGGGATACGGGGGAAGGGAAAACATACCACTAAAGCTGTTTTTTAATGGAAATCTTTCTCTTCTTTCCACTCTCACTTGTCTTCCAGTTGGATTACAAGGTTGGCTGGAAGAAGCTGAAGGAAGTGTTCAGCATGGCTGGTGTGGTGGTGAGAGCTGACATCCTGGAAGATAAGGATGGCAAAAGTCGGGGGATCGGCACCGTCACTTTCGAGCAAGCCATAGAGGCTGTTCAGGCCATCTGTATCCTTGAGAAGTCCCTGTGGTGAAGAGCAGGCAAACAACTTACTAAAGAAAGCAGGGTGAAAATCTAATCCTACAGTTTTTTTTAAGTGAGGATGTTGCAGTGTCAGAGGAGGTCAAACCCTTCCAGTGGATGAAAACATGAGGAAAGCAGAAAAGGACAAAAGCCTTTCCTGAAAGAACTGAAAGCTCAGCATCACTGACATAGTGGATTCTATTTCCCACATGGGTATCTGTGTTCTAGCCCAAATAGTAAATTTCTGGCTGTAGGTTGTAGCTAGAATTAAAATTCAGTTTCTGAGATGTGGGTTTTTTTTAATTCCTGCAGTGGATTTAGAGGAATGCAAAAAAAACCCCACATTTGGAATGGGGGATGGCTTGAGCTGGTTTGTTCCTCTGCTCCCTGTGTCCTCACACTGCAAGTGATGGTTTGAGACATATCCAGTGGATGAAAACATGAGGAAAGCAGAAAAGGACAAAAGCCTTTCCTGAAAGAACTGAAAGCTCAGCATCACTGACATAGTGGATTCTATTTCCCACATGGGTATCTGTGTTCTAGCCCAAATAGTAAATTTCTGGCTGTAGGTTGTAGCTAGAATTAAAATTCAGTTTCTGAGATTTGGGTTATTTTTTAATTCCTGCAGTGGATTGAGAGGAATGCAAAAAAACCCCACATTTGGAATAGGGGATGGCTCGAGCTGGTTTGTTCCTCTGCTCCGTGTCCTCACACTGCAAGTGATGGTTTGAGACATATCTATAGATACAAAAACCTACAAAAACCAACCCAAACAACAACAAAATCCAGACACTGCTGTGTGCACCATCTGTGAGTTTGTGGCTATGGTATGGAAAGGGGGAAAATATTTCCCTCTTTCCTCTCCCAGTGTTTCTCCTTCTGTTTAAATGTTAATTCCATTCTCTGTGTGCACTTTAAGCCTTGTGATTGATCCAAATTTCACATGATTCACTCTCATGGCATACTCCAAAACTTGGCTGCTTGTGGATTTGGAAACGTTGGCAACTTTAACTGTAAAAGGGGAGAAAACATGCAAAAGGTACTGGTGAAACATTAAACCCTCAGGCTGGTTTGAAGTCACATTTTGCTTGAATCTTAATGAATTGAATCTTAACCTGAAGAATAATTAACAGCTGTTTTAATTTTAAAAAGCCATTCTTGGAGTGTTCCATTATTTGGACTCAAAACTTGTTAGCTTTGGAGAAGGCAGAAGGATTTTTTGAATAACCTGTGAGCAAGAGCTTCAGAAACAACCTGCAGAGGGGCAGGTTTCTGACTCAACTCTCTGCCAGGGGACACTTAAAGCTTTTCAGATTTGTTGTTTTAGTACTTGAACAATGATCCTTAATGAAACAACAGCCATGTTTAATGGGCAGCTGCTGTTTGACAGACCCATGCATGTAAAAATGGTAAGTATGTCCAAATTCTTCCTTTTTGATACCTTTTTGATCTGGTGATTGGGCTCCTGGTTGTGGAGGATGTGTGGGCTCAAGGTAAGGGGGAAATATAACTTGCCTGACTCCTAGTGATGCCAACTCTTGCCATCAGGGAAGGCTAATTCTGATTATTTTGCTCAAAGACAATGATAAATACAGTGAGGATTGTTCTAGCTTTGCTTTTCTGTGTTTCTTCTTTAAAAACCAAATGATTTCTGACTTTTCTCACCAACTTTAATGTATTGAATTGTGTTTAGGATGAACGAGCCTTTCCCAAAGGAGACTTCTTTCCTCCAGAGAGACCCCAACAACTCCCTCGTAAGTCTCTCCTCCATGCCTGAACATGTTCCATCTTTTAGTTTGCTGTTCTACAACTGGGGCCTGATCCCAGCCCCAGTAAAACTCTGGTTTAAACTTGGGGAAAGCTGGAATCCAAACTGCCTGAATAATATCAAAGGGGGAAATAGTAAAGAAGAGCTGCTCAGTCTTGGTTTGTTGGGTTTGGTTTTGTTCTGTTTTGGTGGGGTTTTTTTTGGTACTACTTTCAGCTCATAGCTAGAAGCTTGTCTTAAAACAGCATCCCATTCACCTTCTCAAGGCTTCCAAATCTCTCAATTGCAATTCAGAAAGCCTACTGCCTTGTAAAACTACTGTTAATAGTGGGATTTAATGGAAATCTAATTAATCAGCCCTTAGAGAAAAGTGTACCTCCTTCTGCCCAATGATATTTTGGCTATCTAATGTTTTCCCTTCAACTGAATGGGCTGAATTGAGGACCTGAGACTTTTCCAGGTCTTCCTAAAGAGGATCTTATCTCCATATCTGGAAGGAGGGTATAGAGAAGAGGGAGCCAGACTCTTCTCAGTGGTGCCCAGGCCAAGGGGCAGTAACAAACCAAAACACAGGAGGCTCCACCTGACCTAAGGAAATCCCAGGTTGCTCCAGGAGCCTGGGGAGTCTCCCTCCTTGGAGATACCCAAAAGCTGTGTGGACTTGGCCCTGGGAAACTGGCTGTAGGTGACCCTGCCTGAGCCAGCAGGGTTGGAGCAGATCATCTCCTCTGGTCCCTTCCAACCTCAACCATCCTGTGGTAAGATACCTAAAAGTATCAAGCAGGAGGAGTCTGGGTTGGAAGGGAAGAGCTAGAGGTGGGAGGACACAAGCTTAATTTGTTGAAACAGAGCAACAGTGTGAAATGTGGCTGTTAACCTTGTTCTGTTAATTCAGCCAGTTGCTATTTTCTTGGGCATGGGAACCAAAACCTGTTGCATGCACAATTTTAATGATCATCAATCAATCCATCCCTTAATTAGTTGAGTTTTCTGGCAAAGCCTTATTCAGCAGCATCATTCCTGGGCTTTCTGTAACAGTATCCTTCATTTTCAAAAGAAAGTCTTGGGGTTCCAGTTGAATTCTCAATAAATTCTCTATTTCTTCTGAATAAAACTCAACAAATCCCAACGGAAGCCTGTGGGGTTTTTTTTTGTGGCCTTTCCTGGGGCAGGGATGGGGCACCTCATGTTGTTTTAAAACAAGATTCAATGCTTCCTGTGTTTCATGATGCTGAGCTGTAAATGAGGAAGTCCTCTTCTCATAGGCCAAGAAATGCCATTGAGCTGTTGTCTGATGTGAGTGCAAGCAGAACTTTTCCTTCCTGATGAAAGAAAAACATGAGGGCTTTTTTTTTTCTTCTTGCTTTGGACTGGGGAATCTTTTTTTTTTTTAATTCATTTGGGTACAGGAAGATTCCAATGGATGCCTGGGGATGATACATTTTGTTTGCTCAGAGAAGAGGCTGGCTGTGTGCTCTGAATTCTATAGGTGGCTATCAGAACCATAGGTTGAACTCTGTGGTAAAATTCTTACCTACAAGGGAAGAACCTTGGCAAAGGTGGAACTAAAGCCATTTGTCAATCGAGGGTGACATTGTGCAAAGGTCAGAAGATCTCAATACTAAATTGCCCACTCTATTCTCCTTAGATTGAGGAGTTGCACAAAATAAGCAGTGTTCTAGCCAGTTATTTTTCAGGAGTCAGCTTAAAACCAATCAAACAAGTTTTCTCAGCAGTAAGATGGAAAACAGAGAATAAGAATTAAAAAAAAAAATATTTGAGAGAGTTTTTAGACTTATTTCAAGACACATCTACTCTGGATTTACTTTACACTTTCATGCTTTAAGTACACACCCCCCAGTGGGAACACAGCAAGCTTTTTGGAGAATGGAAGTCAATTACTTAAGAATAAAACTTGCTGTTTTGTCAAACTATGGAAAGAAGGCTTTTTTGATATCTGAATATTTTCTTCAGATGGTCTTGGTGGTATTGGCATGGGATTAGGACCTGGAGGTCAACCTATTGATGCAAATCATTTAAACAAAGGCATGGGAATGGGCAACATGGGACCTGGAGGTAAGAAGATTACTCCTATGCTTTTGTTTCATGAGAGCTTTAAGCTGTGTAGAAGGTAGTTAGCTTTGTTTTGCCTACCCAAAAAGTTGAAGTGTCTTAGGAGTGTTAAAGCCAAATGAGTTTTTGTTGAGCTAAGTAATGAGCTTGATAATGGAAACTTGAATTTAACCAACTGCTCCATTTTTTTTTCACTGTGGTCAAGGCACAGCTCTCATTTTCTGACTCTTGAGCATGAGCAGCAGACACTGCAAATAGACATTAAACTTTGAAAAACCATCTGTCACTTTTAACACCTACTAGTGGGCTTGCAAATCTTTGTTCAGGATATGTTTAAATAGCACAAGTTTTCAAGAGCCACCTAAAAAGTAGCACACATTCAGCTTTCAATTTACCAATGCCTATGGGTTTTTCCCCTTTGCTGCTTTACTTTTTTTGAGAAGGAATGTTGCAAATCTACTCAGAGTTATCCCTTGTAAGCTCTTCAGTCCAAACCATGGACACGTTGTCTGATCTCTGTTTCTCCAGCCAGACTCATGGCTGAAGCTCTGTAGAGTTAACATTAGCTACATAAAGCTTTCTCTTTTATTTTGAGGAATGGGAATGGAAGGCATGGGCTTTGGAATGAATAAAATGGGAGGTAAGCTGTGTTTTTTTTGACATGTCTTGGCTTTTTTTTCGTCATAGCTTGGGCTTTTTTGAAAGTTGTGTGAACTTGGCCATGTATGTCTAGCAGGTGTTTGTGCTCCTTGAAGTTTGTCTCCAGTTGAGTACTAACTTCTTCCTTTTGGAGTGCTACTAAAACTGTTCTAGGTGTATGGGGATAAGCCACAACTGTTTTTATCATGTGATTTGTTAAAACTGTTGGTTTAGGAGATAAATTCCCAAACTCTAGCCAAATTTTGGATTGTCTCTGTGTGGCAGAGTTCTTTTGGTGCCTGTGGAAGTGTCCTGTGAAAGCAGCTTGTGGGGGTGAAGTGTAGCATGAAGAAGTTGAAAGGCATTGCTAAAGAATTCCTGAAAAAAATGTTTTCTTTTAGGAATGGAAGGTCCTTTTGGTGCCATGGAGAACATTGGGCGCTTCCCAGCTGGGATGAACATGGGCAGAATGAGTGGTAGGTGCTGGTTTTTTGTGTAGCCAACTCCCAACTTGTGTTCTCTGGACGTCTACCACTGCAGGGACTCTCTAGATTGGTCATTATCTCACTTTTATTGGGGAAAAACTAAAAGCTTAGAGCTCACGTGGTGTCCACAAGTCACTTGGGGTCTCCAAGCTGTAGAAAACAAGTGATTCCTTGAGGTTTTCTTGAAGGACTAGTTTAGAAAGGGATAAATCATGTCTATATCCACCAGAAAGGCTTCTCCAGAGCAAAGTGGCTGCCTCAGATCTGCCTGTCCATGTTGAGCAGAGTCCTGGTTTTTTTTTGTCTCCAAAAGACATGATGGAATGATCAGGAGAACATCATAAACATCTTGCCTTGCTGTGAATCCTTCAAACCTTCTCAGGCATTGTTTAGACTGAAATCAAACTGCATCTTTTCAGAGATGGATCGTGCCATGGGTGGAGGCTTTGAAAGAGAATTTGGAAGAAATGAAATGGGGATGTCTCGTAGCTTTGGAGAGACTTTGGAGAGAGGAATAGGTAAATATGCTAAGCTAAGCACTTTACTACCTCCTTCATGCCTGAACCCTGCATAAAAAATGCTGTTTTAGTTTAACAAACCAGACTATATTCTATATATTTGCTGAAATAGTTTGGTTTTGCTCAGACTGTCTGAGCTATGCAGGAGGCAGATGGATACAGTCATGATCTTTGAGGCTGTGGAAGGGAATTTCAGATGGAACAGGAAACCTCTTGACAGTCTCAACACACTGCCCTGTGTCTCAAAAACCTCACATTGAACTTCCATGCACGTGGTGGCAAAGAGGAAGCTTCTGCATGATGCATGACCCAAAACTAAACCATCACTGAAGTCAGATCTGGGGCTTAGGCAACAGGGAGGAAAAATATGATGGAGCTTTAATTTGCTTCCCTTCCTCCCAGACATTTTAGGAACCTCAGATAGACCCACACATCACAATTCAGAGTTCTTCATGTTGTTATTGCTGAGCTTTCTTAGTTTGGTACAATTTAAAATCATTTTTAAAGAAGGTGAACTGCTGTAGGCTGGTGACACAACTCAGCTGACTCCTTAAACTGGATCTTAGCTGCAAGGAAAGGTGGTATTTTAAATAGTTCTTTTAAAAAGACAAATATCCTTACCTTAAAATTAAGGTTGCACAGCAAATGGAGCCTTCAAAAATCTAGAAGCATTTAAAGCAGTTTAGTTATGATAACTCACTGCTGGTTTTTTATATAAATAGCAGAATTCAATAAAAATTTGAGGGATAATCCAAAATACTGCTTAAATATTTAAAGATTAAAACAATTCTGAGAAAAGATAAGTGGAAGACTAGGGAAAAAGTATTTTTGGACTGTCAACTTTGCTGGCAATTGTCCCTTCTTGAAGTCCTGCTGGTGAGATACTAAATATTTAAGTGAAAACAAAATCCTGCCCCTTCCCATTGCCTCTGACTTTTACATTCCCAGCAAGTTGCCCAGTGACTCTCTGGAAATCTGGGCTCTTTTAGGAATGAAGTGTTCAAAATGGCACAATTTCTGCAACAAAGCTGAGCCCAAATATTTCCAAGTAGGCAAAACTCCACCCCCTCCAAATTTAGAGTTATTTTTATTTGCCTAATGATTGAACCCCAGTGTTTTTAATAACCTGGAGTTGGCCTCATCTGCCTGTTTCTGGGCAGATGCACAACACTGCTGGTTTTCAGCTGGAGAAATCCTAAATATTTGTTGCTGTTTTCTTAATTTAAGGGGAAAAAAAAGCCAAGTGGCTTGTACAAATACCACATAATCCAAAACTAGGTGGTCTTATTTACTGCTGAAGGTCAAAACAATAAAGCAGGATGAGAGTTGTTTGCAGATGTGGTTGCTTGAGTTTTTTGGGAGCATTGACTCATTTCAGGGCTACGTGTCTTGTTTCTCTTCATTAAATATTTGTAGGTAATTTAAGTGTGCACTTTCTTCCAGGCTTTTTCCCCCCTCAAATAGGACTCAAACTCAACATGATTTATTTTGATTTTTACAGTGTTTAACTTGATGTGATAGATAAGCTAAAATTCATCATACCACAGCAAAGAGGCCCAAACTCTGAGGGAGATCCTGCTCCTGCAGGAACTTGAGGACTCTGTGGCAGAGTCAGGGGATTTTATCTAGCAGACACAGAACCTCTGGTCTTATTTTATCCTGGCACAACATTCTCAGGTTGCTTTCCACACTGAAAAGCCAAGCATGGCCTGTGACTTCACAGTGGTCACTCAGCTGTGGTTCTCCTGTGGGATTTGCTTTCTTCTTCTTAGACTTGTGGCAATAAGAGGGCTCTTAGTTTGGGGCAAGCTTCTCTTGTGCAAGCCTCTCCCTGCCTTGGCAGCAGCAACTTCTGAGCTGTGTGGCAAGGAGGCAGCGACTTCATCCCTCTCCCAAGCAATCTGGACTGTAATTTCAGTGATTAAATCACTGCTCTTGCTGCATAATCCTCAGGACAGCTAAAATGAAATTTAAAATACCTGATGTAGGTTTGCAGATGCCTTCAAAACTTTCTCTGTGGGTTTTTTGGGAAGGTTTTCTTTGTGTTCAACTCTTGAGTGAAGGGATAAACTTTCCTCTCTCCCAACTGTGGTCTGATGAGAGGACTGCTTCCCTAAAGTGCTGCAAGCACAATTCTCTGCATCAACAACAGGCCTCTTCATTTTCATCAGAAATAAACATCCTGCAGTTAGGATATTGAGTAACAACAGGACTAGAGGGAATGGGGCAGAGCTGGCAGTGGGCAGATTCAGGCTGGATGTGAGGAAGAAGTTCTTCCCCAGGAGAGTGGTGAGACCCTGGCATGGGTTGGCCAGGGAGGGGGTTGAGGCCCCATCCCTGGGGGTCTTTAAGGCCAGGCTGGAGGAGGCTCTGGGCAGCCTGATCTAGTGGGAGGTGTCCCTGCTCATGGCAGAGGGGTGGGAACTGGGGGATCCTTGTGGTCCCTTCCAGCCCTGACAGATTCTGATCTGTTTTAGCAGAGGACTTTAGAGCCCTCATGGCTCAATGGATGGGCTTGATGATCTTGGAGAGGTCCCTTCCAACCTAAAGGATTCTATGGTAAAGCTCAAAGCCTTTCAGCAGCCCGAGTGTGGGTTAGGAGCTGATTGATGTTTGACTGATGGCCTGTGTGTTGTGTTGCAGGTGGTGGAAACGCCAGCATTCCTGGGATTGAGAGGATGGCACCTGGCATCGACCGCATGGGCTCGGGCATAGAGAGGATCCCCTCTGGGATGGGGCACGGGATGGAGAGGGTAGGGTCAGAGATAGACAGGATGGGGCTGGTGCTGGATCGGATGAGCTCCAACGTGGAGAGGATGGGCTCGGGAATCGACCGCATGGCCCCGCTGGGCATCGACCACATCGCCCCCAACATGGAGAGGATGGGCCCAGCTCTGGAGAGGATGGGCTCTGGCCTAGAGAGGATGGGCTCTGGCCTAGGCTTTGGCATCGAGAGGATGGGGGCCGCCATCGACCGCGTCGGCACCACCATGGACAGGATGGGCTCCGGCGTGGAGAGGATGGGCTCCGGCATGGAGAGGATGGGGCTAGGCATGGAGAGGATGGTGCCTGCTGGAATGGGAACTGGCATGGGGCAGGTGATAGAGAGGATGCCAGCTGGCTTGGATCGTATAGGGGCCACCCCCATGGAGAGGATAGGGATAGAACGTATGGGGGCGGCCGGCATGGAGAGGATGGGCCTGGAGCGCATCGGAGCAGCCAACATGGAGAGGATGGGCCCGGCCATGGGGCAGGGCATGGGGGCTGGCATCGAGCGCATGGGGCTGCCCATGGGCAGCAACTTTGAGAGAACCATGGACATGGAACGAGGCAACTTCGCGGGCAACTTCGCAGGCTCCCTGGGAGGAGCTGGAGGACCTGCAGCAGGGGTGGCCAGGAAAGCCTGCCAGATATTTGTGAGAAATGTGAGTACATTTCTTCCTCCCCTTCTTCTTCCTCCCC